CCTGAGAAGATTGGAACAAACTAAGATATGGGCCTAGAGACTCCCAATCTTCCTTCGTGTTAATCTAGGACTAGTACAAGCACATAAATCAGAAGAACTTTGGCTTATTACCTGCCGCATGCTCATCAAGAAGAAATGTAATCCTAATTCCTTTTGCAAAAGTTGTAGCATTCAAATTAAATCTCTAGAGGCAGAACAAGTGGTAGGATTAACTCCTCTTCCTCCTTTGGGGTATGAATTGTAACATGATCTGGCAAAGGAGTCATGGAGTCCTGCTTTACTTTAAGATCCTAATCCAACATGATCTTTACTTTGATATTGAGGACACCCTGAGATTTTTAAAAACAAAAGGTCGGTTAAAATGGATCATTAAGCACTTGAATATATATTTCTCCAAGTATATCAATGTTTTTATTACTGTTTAGAAAATAAATAAAATCATCAATCTAAATTTCAGCACAAACAAGGTTAGTGCAATAGAAAATTTGAAACATTTAGGTACAGCCTACCTGACAAGCATTTCAAGTTGAAGTTGTCAATAGGCAAGTATCTATATGAGCACTACAAGGAAACCAAGCCCTATTAAAGCAATAATGCCGCACTGAAGTCTCACGAATTTATAATACCATGATTGCAGAACCCAGACTTTTCCTCTTATGTGCAGCTATGCATAGTAACTGCCCGTTCACATGACAGGTTTTCATCAAACTTCCACGCATTTGACATAGTGCTATGTTAGACAGTGGATGGATTTACTAATGCTTCTTGCAGCAAAATCCAAAACAAAAACAAATTTCACAACATACAGCATATTCTTGTCCTTGACAAGTGCATCACTCCTCAGACATAATAAGTTGTAGAACTAATGATGCCATGCTTTATTCAGGAATTTTAAAAAAATTAAATTTTAAAATATGTCCATAAGAATTAAAAAAACTATAGACTTTAACTTTCTACAAATCAGCATTTCTAATATGCATCAAGCAAGTACTAAGACAAACTTAGTGATCAAAGATATGATTCTCAATTCTGCATGATTATTTATGTACAGATAGGACCATGGGGGATTTACATTAATATTTACAAAGCAACAAACGTTTGAGATGGCAACTTAGTATTTAATTTATCTAATTGTAAAACCTGTTAATCATTTTATTGTATTCAGTAACCAAAGCACATCAAAATAGACAGATATGCCTCTTTGTATCGCATGTAAATGCTTTATTTATGACGCGTGCTATAGCTTCTTTATATCATAAACTAGTCATTTTTTTACAACATTATTTCCAGACATCTAATCATGATTAAGGCTTAATTCTGAAGAAAAACAAGTATGGTTGACACATGAGTTCCCTTACCCGGTAGACACCATCAAACATTGCACAAAATGCATCCGAAGAAGCAAGCAGAGCAATTCTGTGTGCATAAAAGCACTTGCCTGGAAAAGAACAGATAATGAACATTTAGATATTTAGCACATAACTAATAGCTTCCTTTTAAATGAGGAATGTAGCATACATAATTTACTACAATTTTAAATGTGCTATGCAATTGTTTAAAGGAAAAAACTACATATGGTGAGAATAGTCAACAACCTTCAACTAGAAAGGTAACATCTAATAGCGTGGAGCTATTCACATACTGCTCGCCCAGGTACACCTACATGAACAACTTGATTAGTACTATTACAGGTATATAACTCTGTTCTAACATAGTAGACAGACTCGTCGGGCCTTTGCATTTGTCATGTATTTCTCTACGATAGCATGTACAAGTTTTGTTACATAGCAAAACATATTTGTTCACATTGGATGCATATGAAGTCCCAACATCAAACATTCAGGATATTGATTATTCAGATATCAATTATGACATGTGATTCTTTTTTTTTCGTCTTGAATAGTAATATACTATTGTATCCATGTTCGTTTCAACTAAAATAGGATTGCTGATTTCAAACACAAGCGATCCACTTAAGAGGTCAAACCTGCAAAATTAATGCATCTTCTTCACTAATAAGAATACCCAGTAGTTTATTCCTTGTCGTAAAGCACATACTTTTGCCTCAATTTCTCCAATGATTTGTAACAATTAGATCTCAAATTCGCATCTCCTTTCTAGCATATGCTTGTTGCAGGATAAGTGATATTGTAGATAAGCAAACAATTTTCATTCTCCAATTAGAAAAAAGGTTTATACTGATCAAGTAATATTTATGTTTGATCAGTCTCAAGAGTAGACAATTCAAAAAAAACCAGTGATTTAAAAAGCGCTAGGCGCCAAAAGGCGCCAATGTCCATAAACGCCCGAGGCGCTAGGCGCTCGCCCAGGCGCTCGCCCGAGCGAAGCGAGGCGCTAAAATATAAAAATATATA